AGCGCCCGCCGAGCCCGCAGCAGCAGCCACGGGCGCAGCAGCAGCAGCAGCAGCCCCCGCTCGGCTGCCGGCAGCCGCGGGAGAGCAGCAGGCGCCACCGAAGCAGCAGCAGCACCAGCCGGCCGCCAGCCAGCAGCACCCGCAGGTGCGGTCTGCGCTGGCCGCTGCCGCCGCCGCGGCCGGCTCGATCCAGGCGGCAGCAGCGGCGACGGACGTCGCCAAGACCTCAGCTGCATTCAAGTATGCTGCAGCCGCTGTGCAGCAGCAGCTCGCGACGGGGCAGCAGCAGCAGCAGCAGCAGCAGCAGCAGGGGCGGCGGCGGGCGCAGCCGGCGACACCCGGCGGCCTCAGGGTGCCGCCGCTGGCGGGCGAGCCCCCCGTGCGCCTGCTGCTCACCCCGCAGCTGCCACCTCCGCAGCCCGCCCCCGCGCCGCGCCACCAGGCACAGCACGCAGCAGCAGCGGCAGCAGCAGCAGCAGCCACGGCGGGGCATATGCACGCGCAGGCGGCCCCAGCAGCCCGCCCCCCGCCGCCACAGCAGCCGCGGGGGGCGCCGCCGCCGCCCGCGCCTGCGCAGGCGGCAGCCGGCGCTGCATCCGCTCGGCCCCCGCACTTGCCCCAGCAGCAGGCGCAGGTGGCGCGGCGGCCAGGCAGTGGCGGCGGCGGCGGCGGCGGCAGCCGGGAACTCTCCAGTTATGCCGATCTTGCAGGCACGCGCCAGCCAGCAGGCCCGGCAGCCCCGGCGGCGGCGGCGCCAGGCCGCCACCTGCCCGTCTTCTCCACCTCTTCGGTGCCTGGCGGCGCGGGGCTGCCACCCAAGGCTGCAGCGGTCGTGGCGCAGCAGCGGCAGCTGTGGCAGCAGCGGCAGCAGCAGCAGCAACGGCAGGAGTCCCAGCCGCCGCCGGCACCGCAGCAGCAGCAACCACTAGCACCACGGCAGCAGCAGCAACCGCCAGCACCGCAGCAGCAGCAACCACTAGCACCACGGCAGCAGCAGCAACCGCCAGCACCGCAGCAGCAGCAGCAGGCCCAGCAGCGGGCAAACGCAAACGCCACGCAAGCGGCCGCCCCCGCGGCGCCCGCAGGCAGCGCCAGCCAGCCGCCGCCCCGACAGGAGCATCAGGCGGCGTCGGCGGCGGCAGAGGCTTTGCTGGCCGAGCTGGGCAGGTGCTTGGGTGCGCTGGGGAGCAGCGGTGGCAGCGGTACCGCCGCCGGCGGCGCAGGCGTCCTCGCCGCCCCCGGCGGCTTGCTGGCGCCGCTGCTGGCCCCCGCGCTGCTCGGCGCGGCGGCGCGGCCCGGCGGCGGCGGCGGCGGCGGCGGTTCTCCGTCAGGGGCAGCGGCGCCGCTGCCTGTTCCGCTCGACCGCGACTGGCCGCTGTGCCCCTTTGAGCTGCGGGGCAGCTGCAAGGACGCGGCGTGCAGGTGGGCAGCTGCTTTGCGGGGGGGGCCCTTGCCTTGCCGTCTGGGCTCAAGAGTGGGAGTGTCTGGGTGCTCAGCGCTATGGCTATGCCCTGGCACTGGCACTGCCCCTGCCCAGACACCCCGGCGGCCAGCCTGGGAGGCGATGCGTGCTAGCAAGGTTTCGCTGCTGGCTGCGGCCTGTTTTTGTCGCCGTGAGGAGCGGGCCGCTGCTGCTGCCGCTGCTGCGCATCCTGCAGATATCAGATGGCGGTGGACCAGCAGCCTGCTGCTGCGGCGGCGGCGGCGGCGGCGTCCCAGCAGCCGCAGCATGCGCGGCCGGCGCCGCCGGCCGCGCCCGCCAAGCGGCGGCGCGTGGCGGAGGCGGCCATCCGGGAGGTGGCCCTGGAGCAGCGGCTGCCGCAGTATGCAGTCAGCTGGCAGTTTGGCGTGGGGCTCGGGGCCCACGGGCACGGCAGGAGCAGGGCCAGCGCGCGCCGCCCCTTCTCCTCCCTGCTCCTGGCGCCCGCCGCCGTGCTGGAGCCGCCCGCGGCGCTGTTGGAGGCGGTGGGCGGCGGCCTGAGCGTCGCGCTGCGCTGGCAGCTGCTGCCGGGGCCCGAGGGCGCCGCCAGCCGGCTGCCGCGGGACGGCGGCGGCCCTGCAGCGGCCGGCGGCGCAGACGCGCGGCAGCAGGCAGGGATCGAGGGGAGCAGTGCCGACAGCCGATACTTTGCCTCTGGAGCAGCGGCTGCCGCCACTTCCCCTGCCGCTCCGCAGCAGCAGCCGCCGCCGCGGCAGCAGCGGTACTGGCAGCGCCAGTACGAGCAGCTGCTGCTGGAGCGGCCGCAAGACGAGCAGCTGTGGGTTAGCTATGCGGTACGGCACGCGGCGGAGGCGGGCGCCGCCGGCGGCGCCGCGCTCGCGTCAGGTGCGCCGGCCGCCCAGGCTGGGCTTCCTGCCCTCCTTTATTCGTGTCCTCTTGTTGCCTGCTCTTGCGCTTCATACGCCTGTTTTATTGCCTGCCCTGGCCCGGCGCGCATCGCGCAGCGTGCCGTGCCGGCTTTGCTTTGGTTTGGGGACCCCCGGATGGTGCCTTGCCGTGCTCCTGTGTGCCACGTACCCCTGCCTGCTGCACCCACACCTGCACCTCCTCCGCCTGCCTCCTTGACCCGCACCCCCTGCTGCCCCGTCGGGGCTGTTGCCTGCCCTGCTCGGCTGCAGAGGTGCGGGAGGCGATGCTGAAGGTGCTGAAGCGCGGGCTGGAGCATCACATGTGAGGCAACCTCCTTGTTTTAGAATGTTTTCATGATTTTATTTTACCTTGGCAAAAACATTTGTGGGAGCAGCAAGCTGCCGCCGTTCCTGCCAAGCTGCCACTGTCCCAGTCCCGTCCTGGCCTTGCTGCGCGTTGGCAGCTGGCTCTGAGCTGCTAGCGCCAGCCTTTTTGTTTGGTCTCTCAGCGTGCGTTCATAAACGCAACAAGGCAGCGCCGGTCTGGCGCCTCGGATGGAAAGGGCGCGGGCGCGGATGCATGCAGCAGTGCGGTTGGCTGGCTGGCGCCACGCCCAGCCTGCCATACCATGCCGTCATCTGCGCCCCCTCCCTGCCCCGCCATCGTGCAGGCACAGCGCGGTGGTGTGGCCGCTGTACCTGCACCTGTACTGCCAGCAGCCAGGTGGGTGCCCGCTTGACTGCCTGCGCTGCAATCTCCCTTGCGACCTGTATGGTTGTGCGCTCTCTTGTTGGCGGTGCGTGCCCACCCCCCAGCTCTCCCTCTTCCCTTGCCCCTCCCCTTACAACCAAGGGCCCTTGCCCACTCGATCCCCAAGCCGACGCTCCTGAAAGCCAACCCACACCTGCCCTGGTCTGCAGGCTGCTCTGCCGCCATGATGACCGACTCGGCCCTCCAGTTTGCCCCGCACAGCTACCGCCTGTGGCTGGTGGCGGCGGCGCAGCAGGCGCGGTGGCAGGAGGCGGCGGCGGTGCTGCAGCGCGGCGTGCTGGCCCTGTTCGGCCCTCCGCCGCCAGGCGCGGCCGGCGGCGCGGGCGGCAGCGGCGAGGATGGCGGCGCGTGCGTGCCGGAGCAGCAGGCGGCCGCAGCATTGGACCTCGGCCTGCGCCTGCTGCAGCTGCTGGGTGCGGCAGGGCAGGAAGAAAGCACGGCGGCGCTGTGCCAGTGGGCCTCGGCGGAGGGCGGCGGCGACGCCGCCCAGCAGCCGCTGCTGCCCCGCAGCAAGGCGGCGCTGCTGGCGGCGCTGCAGCGCCACCCCCGCCTGCTGGCCGCCCTGTGCTGCTGCGCCGCGTTTGCGGCGGCGCACGGGCGGCTGCCGCCGGGCGCGGAGCACAGCCTGGGGCGGCGCCAGTCGCTGGCGGCGCTGCTGCGCGGCTGGCCGCCGCCGCCGCCGCCGCCGCCGCCGCCGCCGCTGGCCGGTTCCTCGGCGGCGCATTCGCCGCAGGCTGCTGCAGCGTGCAGGGCGGCGCTGGTCATGGGTGCAGACAGCCTGGGGCTGGTGGGTGTCGTCCCGCAGGCAGGCTTGCAGCAGGCGCACGCCAAGCGTGTGGGCGGCGAGCAGCAGCGCCAGCAGGCGTCCCAGGCCCTTGCAGCAGCCAGCAGGCGGCAGCCCGGGGCGGTGATGGCAGCGCAGGCGGCGCTGGCGCTCGCCATGCTCCGCCTCGACGGCTTTGCCGCCGCCGGCGGCGGCAGCAGCGGCGGCAGCAGCGGCGGCGGCAGCGGTGGGCGCGGCGGCGGCGGTACCGGCGTCTCGCTTCTGGCGGAAGTGTTTCCATGCCAGGCGGCAGCCGAGCCTGGCATGGGGCTGGGGCCCGTGCAGCTGGCGGCGCTCGAGGCGGTTTGGCGCTGCTGGCAGGGGCAGGGGGACGCCCAGCCCGCGCAGCAGGCACAGCAGGACGCGCAGCAGGCGCAGCAGCAGGCGCAGCCTGAGCTGCTGCTGCTGCTGCAGGAGGCTGTGGCGGCGGCAGCGTCGGCGCCGGCCCCGGTGGGAAAGCGCGGCGCGGGCAACCCCGTGCTGCTGATGTGCCTGCACGGCAGGCTGCACCCCGCGGCAGCCGCCCAGCTGGCGGCGGCGGTGGCGGGATGCGGCCAGCCGGGCGCGGCGGCAGCTGCGCTGAAGCTTCTGAGCTGCTGGGGTGCTGGATATGCTCAGGTGAGGGGGCTGTGGAGAGACTCATTGGCTTTTGTGAGGTTGTTGCTGTGGTTGCTGGGCTGCCAAGCTGATTATTCAAAATTATCCGCCACCGCTTGCCCTCCTGTGCCATCCGCCACCGCCACCTCTCCGGCCGGCGCTGCGCTTCTGGGCAGGCTGCCCAACCCTGCGCTGTGTGCCCTGCTGACCGCCTGCCTGCCCGGGTGCAGGATCCGCGGCAGGCCTGGCCTGCCGGCGGCCTGCGGGTGGCAGATGTGGTGGCCTCGGTCGCCCGCAGCAGCCCACCTGGCGTGGCGGCGGGCCCCGCGGCGCCGCTGGTGGCGCCAGCGGGCGAGCAGGCCCCTTCTGCTGCTGCCTACTGGCACCTGTGCTGTGCCCTGCACGCCAGCCTGGCGGCGGCTGTGCAGCGGCAGCAGCCCGGCGTGATGGACGGCGGGCTGCTGCGCGCGGCCGTGGCAGCCGCCGCGGCCGGCGGCGGCGCCCTGGAGCGGCGCGTGTGGCGCGAGGCGGCGGCGTTGAGGCTGGCGGCGGCGGCGGCGGAGTGGGACCCAGCTGTGCAGGCGGCCGCGGTGCAGCGGCTAGTGGCGGCCGCCGGCAGGCATGGGCAGGTGCAGGAGCCGCTGTCGTGGCCGCCTGTCGAGGAGGAGACACAGCAGCAGGCAGGGCAGCAGCGGTGGCAGGACCCTCTGGCGGCGGCGGTGCTGGCGGCGCCCGCGGCGGCGGCGCCCGACGCGCTGCCGCCCGCGCCGCTGCTCCTGGCGCTGCCGCGGGCGCAGCAGGCGGCACTGCTGGAGTCGCTGCTGCCCAGCTGCAGCCCCGAGGTGGCCGCCGCCGCGGTGGCGCTGGCGCGCCAGGCCTTCGCCTCTGCCTCTGCGGCCGCAGGGGCGGCGGGCGAGCCGCGCTCGCCGCTGCTGTGGCGCCACCCGGCGCTGAGCTGGGCGCTGCCGGCAGCCGCCACCGCGCTGGCCAGCAGCGTCCCTGCAGCGGCGGCAGACCTCTGGCAGCAGGCAAGGCGCGGGGGCCAGGCAGCGGGGGCGGTTCGCAGCTGGGGCTTTTGCATTCACTTACAGCAATGCCCGTGCCTGTACGTGCCGCATCTGTCGTGTGCCGCACTGAGTCCTCTGCTGCCCCGCGTGGCCCACCCCGCCTGCCTGCCTCGCTGTGGCAGCTGTCGGTGCTTTCTACCTGCCTCTGCCACTGTTTGTCTGCTGCCTGATGTCTGCGGCCTGCATCTGCTTGCACTAGCTGCACGGTTGTGTGCTGTTTGCGCTTGGTCTGGGGCCAACACAACATGCCCGGCCTTCCCATCGCAGGCTGTCTCCATGACTGCTTCGGTTTCCTTGCTCGCCGCCGCGGAGCTGGCGGCGGCAGCCACGGCGGCGCACCCCTTCAGCGCCGCCCTGTGGCAGCAGCGGCGGCAGCTGGCGGCGGCGCCGGCCTCGCCGGCCGCCCAGCAGCCTCACCCGACGGCCGCGGCGGTGCAGCAAGAGGCCGAGCGGCGAGGGCTGGCGCTGCCTACCCCTGGCGCGATCGCGGCTGCCGCGCAGCTGGCTGGAGGCTTGTCCTAAGCACGCGAAGAAGCCTCGTCGGTGCCTCCCCTGAGCCGCCGCCTGTCGCTGCATGCTGCCTGCATATCTGCCTTTGCTGCCGCCACCTGCCGCGCCTCCTGTGTGCTGCCGATGTAGCTGCGGCGCGGCCTCTATGCACTGGCTGCCGCCACCTGCAGCTTGCTTGATTGCACTGCCTGCTTGATAGCCCTGTATCAACAGGACACCTGCCTCCAGGCACTGCCCTCGACGCGCTGCCAGCCACGCCGCGCAGCTGGGTTTATTGGGGCGTGCCTGCTCCCTTGTGTGCTGCTGTGCAGGTGCGGCTGAGCCAGGTCAGGCTGACGTGGCGGCGGCTGCACCCCGGCAGCACTTCGCATCGTCAGCTGGTGGCAGCAGCCGGTGGCAGCAGCAGCGGCAGAGCAGCCGCCTGGGGCACGTCATTGCATTGTGCATGTGCGCTTGCTTCTCTTCTTCTGCCGTTGCTGATCGGGTGTGCTCCCGCTGCCCCGCCCGCCCGCAGGTGGGCGTGGCGCTGCGCTGCGCTGCGCTGCGTGCGCTGGGCTCCCCGACGCAGAGGAGAGGGGGATGCCGCCGAGCCTGATTCCCTGCCCGCCTGAGTGCAGGCTCCCCTTGCTGCACAGATGCCCCTTCCCTCACCTGCCCCTTCCCGCGCTGCCTGGTAAGGCGCGCCCGCATTGCGTGGCATGCCGCATTGTGCTGCCCTGACCTGGCGTGCCGCCGCGGTGCCTAGCGCGATGGCTGCCGCGGCTGCCGCGGCCCTCCCACCCGCGCCGTCCATCCGTCGACGCTCTTCATCTGGCGGTGCCGAGATGGAAGATGGAGGGAGGCAACCGCTGCGGCGGGAGCGCTTCCCTCCGTTCTGGCAGCATGTCGCCGATCGAGCTGCCAACATGCTCGTCCACGGCTTGCAAGCGTCAGACGACGCAGCGGCCGTCTGGACGGCTGGCGGCGCATAGAAGTTAGAAACAGAACTAGGAAGTAACAAGTCCCGCACTGTCTGCTGCTCTGCCCTCTCCCTCCGCTCCCTGTCGTGCCCGCTATGCATATGCCGAATCGGTTGGGCACTGCCCAGCTTCTTACAAATCAATCCCGAGTGGTGTAAGCGAGCAACATCAATCATCACTAATGGAAAGGAACGTCACAAATCAGGGTGGCAATGTTATAGAAGCCTGCTGTATGGTGCGGTCGGTCGCCTGGCTGCCGCGTTGCTTGGTCGGGTCAGTGTGAGCCGCCACGCCGCATGTTGAATCATCTGCCCGCCTTTGCAGCTAAGGTTTTGTCATAAGGTCATTCTCCGGTACAAGTCGAAGGTCCAATACGTTCAGTACCACTTCATGCCTGGCCGCAGCGCCTTGTACTGCCGCCGAGGCATGCTCAGGGGGTTGCCGCCGATGCCCAGGCCCACCACCCTCAGCCCGGCCGCCTGTGCACGGCACAGCTCCGTCCTCTGCACGGCACCAAGGCAGGCAGGTGCTGGCAGGTGTCGGCACACAACACATGTTTACTGCCTCCCATGGTTCAGCTTGGGCTCAGAGCAGAATGGAGAGCAGAGCAGGAAGCGGACGAGCAGAGCAGAAGGAGGAAAGCAGAGCAGAGGAGGGAGAGCAGAGCAGGAGCACGCAATGACCAGCCAAGCCTGCAGGCCATGTGCAACATGGGGTGGCAAGTGGTGGGCCGCGGCACAGCCGGTGTTCGCAGGCATGCCTGTCGGGCGCGGGGCGGCGGCGGCGCGGGGCGCCTGCTGGCTGCTAGCAGGAGCGCGGGGCGGGAGGCGGCGAGCGGGTGATGCGCGGTCCAGTGTGCTCCAGGGCAGGAGGGTGCAGGCCCTCGGTGCACGCCTCGCGCATCACATGCGTCTGTCGCAGACAACACTCAATACGGTCAAGGAAGCAGCAGGGGAGGGCCGGCAGCACGGCTGGCCGACGTCAGCGCACCAGACTTGGCAGCAGGCGGGAATGGCAGCGCCAGCGGCAGCAGGCGGAATACTCGGCAGCAGCAGAGGAGCTGGGCGGTGCCTCCGCGTCGACGCCCCCAGGTGCACCCTCTTCCATCAGCCTCACCGGCAGCCCGTGGGGCCAAGTGCTGATGAGCTCCGCCTCCCGCGCCTCCCGCGCCGCCGCCGCTGTGCGGCGCTGCTTGTGCAGCTGCAGGTAGCTGTAGCGCTTGATGGAGTCCCTGCAAGGGTGCAAGCAGGCTCTCAGCCCGTGCGCCGCAGCAACAGCAGTAGCATGGGGCAGCACGGGGCCAGAGCTGCCACACATCTGCTTATAGCCAGCCTGTCGTCCGCTGGCCACTCTATTGCCCAGCGCATTTTTTAAACTGGGCAAGAAGCCGGCGCCACCCAGCGCCAGCCGGCGGTCTGACGGCCTCACATGTCGGGCGTGGCGCATCGGCGCTGCTCAAACGCCGCCCGCGACTTGAAGCGTGGGGACGTGGCCTCATACGGGGACTGCGAGGCATTGCGGGCGTAGACAGAGGCTTGGCAACGCACACACACCCGAGCAGGCCCGCTGAGCAGCTCTGGACATGAACCTGCAGGACACAGCTCCCAAGCGCTGCCTGCGTCTGCCCGAAGGGTCACCACATGTGTACACCAACCACCCCCTGTCCTGCCCCGACTCGCCTGGCTCCACATGTCCAGCGAGGTGGGGCTGCGGCTGGCGGCGGCGGGCGCGGTGCTGGGGCGCGCCTGCAGCAGCGGGGGCGATGACAGCAGGCGCAAGGCGTGTGCCAGGCAAGGGCACCGGATAAGCTTGTATTCGTGGTTTGGTGGGCCATCGTTGGCAGGCAAGCCACCCCATGACACGAAATCGCAGCCGCAGCGCAGGCTGGCCCAGCCAGTGGCAACTTGTCGCAGCAGGCCGGCTGCCCTCACCCCTGCGTCCGCTGCCACGGCACGGCGGCGGCGCCGCGGCGTGCTCTGCCCCCCGCGCTCCCAAGCCTCCTGGCCACCCTCCTCCTCCTCCTCCGCGCCGGCCGCGGCAAGGTCCAGGTCTGGGTGCCACACCAGGCAGTCTGCCACTCCCTGGGACCCGCCCAGGCGAGCCTTGTAGACGGCGGCAGAGGAGCGGGCAGTGGCGCGCGTCTGCGGCACACGGCAACAGCCGTGGAGGAACGGGAGTTGGGCTCATGCCGGGGTGACAGCGGCGGTCGTGGGGCCGAGGGCAGCGGCGTCGCAGACGCCATGGCAGGCAGCGTGTGCGGCGTGCTTGCCTGCATGGCATCCAGGCCCCAGCGCTGCTCGTTGCGGCGCACGGCATCTATGTACTGGTAGAAGGCCGCGTGGCGGCGGCCCGCCGGCTGCGCCGCCTGCCGCTCCTGGGCATTGGCCGACGCGGTGGCCGACGCGGCATCGGCCTCGTAGCGAAGCACGCGCACCGCGGGCCGATCCTGCACGCCAAACACCCGCTTGCCTGCAGGCAGAGGGAGACAGGCAGGGGCCTGGTGCGTGTCTGTGTCCGACAGGGGGCGCCTTCCCAAGGTGCCTGCTAGCCTTCTCTTCAACCGCCGGAACGGTTCCCTGCCGCCGTTCACCGTCAGGAGAGAAATAGATGGAGGCCTTGGGCGGCGAGAAGCGGTCCTGCAATATCAGATGGGAGAGAGCGTGAGTGGCACCAGCCTCTCTGCCACATCATGTTTGCAGGTCGTGCTTGGCTGAGTGCACGCATGTGCAGGCGGCGGGGCGCCGCTTGAGAGTGGCGGCCAACCGCCGGCGGGCAGCAGGAGTGGAGAGCTGGCGGCTGGCCCCCAAGCCGCGCACCTCGCTGGAGGCCGCGAAATCTAGCACCCGCACGCGGGGTGGCGGCTCCACATAGCGCCGGGGCGACGACATCCCCGAGGTGGGCTGCGGCAGTGTTTCTCGGAGTCCTGTTGTATAATTGTGGATGTCGGCAATGCGGCAATGCGGCGAGAGAGAGAGTTGTGCACGGGTGTACTGTCAGCGACGTACGTACTGCGGGGTCCCACACCTCGCCAAAACGCAATGCCGTACTGGACTGATTACCCTCGATATGCGTCGACTTCGATTCAAGCATTCACAGAGCACCGCCGCAGTCGCCCGCCCTTGGGAGCTCCGAGCACAGGTCTCTAACCGTGGACCAGACCCTGCCACAGTTGAACAGGTACATCCTTGATGCTGCGGGATGAGTCTCAAAGAAGAAATCGAGGCGTCTGACAAGGGGCAGTGACACTCACTCGCCAACGCGGCCGCTTGGCTACCGGCGGCCCGCCGCTAGCCCTCCGCCTGATGCCTCGCTGCTCGCCCCTCTCTGAGATTTATTCGCATCCTCGCCAACCACCCCATCGGCCATACTGTTCCCGCTTGCCTGCTGGGCTTCGTTGCCTGCTCCTCTCCACTGACGTCTCAGGCTGTGCTGAACCGCACCTTGTTTCTCAAGGAATGCACTGCTGCTGATGTGCAGGGCCCAATGACTGTCACTGCCTTTGCAGCTGATTACAGTGCCTCTACAGCAGCGACGGACAGTGCCCCTACAGCGGCGCTGGCGCTGGAGGTCCTCAGCACGCCTGGCCCGGCGCAGCAGCTGATCCTCAGCCACCTCACGCTGCTTGACGAGTGAGCTGAGAAAGGGAGTGGCGGGGTGTCATCATCTTGGCAGCAACAGATCTGCCACCTAATCCAAGCGCTGTATGCGCCTCTGCCTGCTGCTGCTCAGCACCAATCCGCGCTGATGGGCTTCTTGCTCCGCTCCCACCATGGTGCAGGCTGCGACTGTGTGCCACCTGCTGCACCCTGAGGCATGCCAGCCTGGCATGGTTCCCGGAGGCCCTTATGATTTTGAGGCCCACTGTGACAGACGTGGCAGGGCTGGCCACTTGGCTGCTCAAGCATCAGAGTGAGATCTGCCTTGCTGTGGCTCTTTACAGTCTGCCATGCACCAACCTACAATGTTGACCATGCTGCAGCTCGTGCATGCATTGTGCTGGTTAAGTGGGGGCGCAGCCACCGACAGATTTCCAAGACCCCTCGTATTATTCTACCTAGGTCTTCTCTCTCTCTCTCTCTCAGCCACCGCACACCGCGGCAGGAAGACGTGTTAGCCTGCCTCAGCGCCCTCCCACCCACCCTGGTAGTTAAGCTGGCTGTGCCTCTGCTCCTAGGAAGTGCCTTCCATAGCAGCATCGATGCTGTGCCACTCAACGGACTGGCACACCTGGCGCACCTGAACCATCTGGAGCTTTCTGGCCATGTGGCAGTGGGCGATGTGGCCAGCCTGTGGCAGCTCACAGCTCTGCGGTGGCTGTCGATGGGCTGTCGCCGCTGCACTGGCAGCTGGCGCGGCCTGGCAGCCCTGAGCCGGCTAGAGCACCTTGCCCTCACCATGGACACCGATGCAGAGAGCGTCGCAGACGACTTCCGCCCATACCAAGACCTGCCAGCCGCCTTGGCTACCCTGACAGCTCTTACCTCCCTGACGTTGCTGTCGTTCCACAGATTGCTGCCTGAGGACACCATTCGCTCCGAGCACCTGCTGCCGCTGGGGAAACTCCAGCGGTTAACCCTAACATGCACCGTCCACAGCGCAGATGATGTGGCAGCAGCGCTGCCGGCGTTGCAGCAGCTAACCGATCTCGATGTTGCCTGCATCTTCATTAACCCTGCAGCAGTCGACTGGCAGCATCTGTGCAGGCTGACTGCGCTGCGAACGCTCGATCTCACGAATTGCCGCATTCAGCAGTTACCAGAGGCGTTGTCCCAGCTTACCACGCTGACTCGCCTGGCCATTGCCATCGACGACCTTTCAGGGCTGGCGCCGCTGTCTTCCCTTCAGCATCTTCAATGTCTGACGCTGCGGAGCTGTGGCCTGGCATCCGTGCCAGAGCAGCTGGCGGCGCTCACGGAGCTGGAGTCACTTGATCTGTCAAGAAACTCTACCATGGTTGGCGGCGGCTGGCAGCACCTGTGCCGCCTCAGGCGTCTCCGCGAACTGGACCTGAGGGACGTGCCCCTACCCGATGGCGTGCCTCCAGAGGTGGCTCAGCTGGTGGCTCAGCTCCCGGCGCTGCAAGTCGTCTACCCTCACCAGCAGGCATTGCCACTGCAGCAGCCGGCACCCAACCTTGCCCCCCAGCACCCGGCACCTGGCAATGCCCCTTCTGCTTACCGCGCTGCACCGGTGCTCGCTGCCGTGGTCGTCTTTGTACTGTTGCGTGTGTTATGATCCAGCGGCGCACTGTTTCCTGTTCTGCATTATCCATGCTGGAGGATAGAAGTTTATCACTGAACTGCACGCTGCCCTCTTGTTGTACAAGCCCTTACTCTCATCGAGGATGGCACATCGGCATTAACTTTACAGCCTTTACAGTGCGGTTGATGTCTGAAGTTTGCTTGTAAAATGAGGGCGGGGCATCAGTGGAGCAACACTAGAGTGTGTCGTGTCTGTGCAGCGCCCTTCCCCACCTTGCCCGCCATGGATCTGTGGGTCAAGGGCGGCAGCATCATTCTGAAAAGGCACATCATCGTGTGGCAGTTGTTTCAACTGGCATCAACTCTGGACTTGTCTGGGGAGAAAACCGCTCCCGCACGCCACTGCAAGAGCTCAGGCGCTGCCGCCGCCGCGGCCCTGCACAAGTACAGCCAGGTTGCTCACCCACCACTGCAGTACGGACTGCACGAGTTGAACGGCGCAGGATCCTCTAACACCAGCCAGGATCCGCGGCCATCCAAGCACAGCAGAGCACAGCAGGGGCGCACCTTGGTCGCCGCCAGCAGCCTGCGCCCCATGAGCGCTTCGGTGATCTCCAGGCCGGGCGGCGGCAGCGGCACGCTGATGTCCAGGTGATACTTGCAGTCGGTGTCGGTGCAGTTGGGCGGGGCAAAGCCGATGCAGTCTGCACGCGGGGTGGGCAGCGCCGGCGGCGACACGGGCCATGTGAGCAGTCAAGGGTGGGTCAGGCCATGAGAGCGTGGGAAGGCGGGATGCCGGGGGGGGGGGGGGGGGGGGGGGGGGCCT